CTTTCACTAACAATTATTAAACATAAATGAATAGAAGATACAACTTAATGGCATTAGAAACTGTTAATTACTACCCGACCGGGGTGTCACGAGTCACGAGCATCTAAGAGGTAGGAACATGACTACAGGGTCATATATATAAAAAATGAAATCTGGTAAAACAAAAGACAACATCCGGTGCCGCGAACGCTGGCGGTCACCTTGCTCAGCTACAATAACAATACCTTCAATCCGCTAATAACCCACTATCGGGTGAACGATACCTGCAACTACACGCAAGGTGCAGGGAGTAAAGTGAGTACTTTCAACTCAGTGGTAATAAGAGTAAATAATAACTGAGAGGCAAGAAATCACGTAAGAGCACTCCATCATGCTATATAGGACAGTACAACCCTTTTTAGAAAACAATAAGACCGTGAAGAATCCTTTTAGAAAATATCTGGCTCAGTTTAAAAACCTCTTTTGAAAATATCCTTTTACAACAGTCAAGCAAATGAATGCATATTCAGATAATGCAAGTCCGCACATAAGTCAGCCCCTCGGGCACAGCACTCCACTAACAATTAACACCAGGGCGTCTGGTAAACAGTGCAAGAAGTAACATGAATGCCAATGAAATGAGAGTGCTGAATGTCATGACACGTAGTACAAACAGGAACCGATGCATGAATGCAATGCAATGCACATGACCGCTGCGGCGTGCAGCCCGATCTATTTGGGTACCCGCGCTCACTGTGGGGGTTCAGACTCTGGAGGGGCTCCTACAGCCCAAGCGCAATATCATCATAGTATCGCTGCAGCGTGCAGCCCAATCCATCCTCAGTCCAGAACATGCAAATAACGCCACTCGGGCAATGTCAAGTATAGCTTTTAACTCAAAACATCAGAAAAATGCAATTTAAGTCTTTAAACTTTAGCAATATGACTGCACATTTCAAAACAGGGTTTAACTCAGGACTGAAATCATTTAATATGCTAAGTGTCATGAAAACAGTGATAATAATCCCTAAAGGATTCAAATAATCGGCACGAAGCCCAAAACATGGCAATCAACCCAAATCACGATAGCATCAAGTAGGTTTCAGTCAATTACGCAGTAAAATCATTAACCGGGACGGACCAAGTCACAATCCCCAATGGTGCTCTACCCCACGCTCATACCTGGCGTGCAAGTCACCACAATACAGCACTATGATGTGCAAATCCGGGGTTTCAAACCTTCAGGATATCATTTACAAGTATTACTCACCTCGAACCGGCGAAATCCCTAGCTCGCGACGCCTTTGCCCCTCGAATCGGCCTCCACGCGCGTCGAATCTAACCAAAATCAGAGCGAATACATTACAATATGCCCAGGGAACAATACCCAATCGAAACAATCG